TTAAAAAATCAATAGAACAGAAAATGGTATACGGAGGAATGATCTCTGCACACCAGACATCTGGCAGTATAAGACTGTGATTCCGGAGAGAAAAACAAATGAAGGGAGACTGACCACAGCCCCAGGTAAATTCCAAGGAAGAAGAGGAAGCCATAAAGAGCCCAAAGAGAGGGAGATCAGAAACTGGGAAGCCAAAAGCAACTGGAATTTGTGGTATACTCCTGGTGTACAGAGGAAACTGCAGACAGATCCCTCAAATCTGTGGTTGAGTACTGATCCACACTTGTGAGAGGAAGCTGCCTGGGGCCAGCAAGAGACCCGCAGAAAAGCAGTGTGACCAACAGTTCCCAGAGCTTATACAGGGCTGGGAAGAAAGACCTTGTAACAGAGAATCCAGAAAGAAACCCACACAAACGTGGTCATCTGATTTTTAACAGGAATGACAAGGCGGTTCGTTAGGAAATAGGCCTTTCATGAAATCGGTCGAACAGTTGCATATCCACATGAGTGAGGATGAGCTGCAGACCTTACCTCATACTCTATACGGAAAGTAATGCAAGATATGCGATAACCGTAAACATAAAAACTAAAATTATAAAACTTCTAAAAGAAAACATAGGAGAAAAAGAACCTTTACAATCTCGGGTTAGACAAAGATTTCTTACATATCCCACTTGAATCACAATTCATAAAATAAAAAGATTGGTACACATGACTTCACCAAAATTTTTTAAAAAATTCTCTTTGAAAAACACTGTTAAGAAATTGAAAAGACAAGCCAGACACTGGAAGAGAATAGTAACAAAGCATGTATCTAATGAAGGATTTACATGCAGAAAACACAATAGAAAGAACTCACAGAGTTCAACAGGAAGAAGACAAACCATGGTAAGAAAATGCGCAAAAGATTGAAATGGATATTTCACCAGAGAAGGTATACAGAAGGTGAGTGAGCACATCAAAAGATGCTCCATAATAATCATGTTAGCAAAATGCAACTCGAAACCCTCGTGAGACACTACTAAGCACTCATTATAATGCCAGATTTTAAGGGACTGATAATAGCAAGTGTTGGAGAGGATATGGAGCCACTGGAACCCCACACTCAGAGCTCGTGGGAATGCACGTTAGCACAGCCCCTCCGGAAAACATCCCGTCAGCTTCTTCTAAAGTTAAATATATTTACCATATGTCCCAGCAGTTTCTCTCCCATGAATCTATGCAAGAGAAAGGAAAGAAAATATCCGCACAAAGACTTGTACCCAAATGCTCCTAGTAGCTTTGTTCATAGTAGTCAATAACTTGAATCTACCCAAGAGTCCAATGGCTGAATGGATTAACAAATTTGGGGACATTCAGATGAATCTCAAAGCAAACCGTATACAAAAGATTACATACTATATATATCATTTCTATGAAATTCTAGGAAAGGTAAAACTATAGTGATCACAGAGAGGTAGATCACAGAATTATTATATAACAATTACCTGTATTACCGATAACAACGCCCAGAATTTAAAAACCTAATAGCCAGCCTTTCCCAGCACTATAGGAAAGAGAGCTTTCCCATACGTTGTTGTCCAAATGTCCGAAACAGAACATTGTTAAATGAATGATGGTAGGGGCGTCTGACTCTTGATGTTGGTTTACGTCGTGGTCTCACGGTCGTGAGATCGAGTCCTGTGTCGGGGTCTGTGCTGAGTGTGGAGTCTGCTTGGGATTCTGTCTCCCTCTCTCTCTTCACCTCCCCTGCTCTCATGCCCTCTCTCTCTCTCTTTCAAAACAGATAAATAAACCTAAAAAATAAATGATGGTAAATCCATAAAATGGAATAGCGTCAAGTGACATGAAATGCTACAAAGGTTTATATAAATGGCTTATAAATTGACACAGAAAATATCAATAAAATGCAAAGAGTAAACATCGCAAGACTACATTCTTTTATCGAAATTATAGAAAAGCAAAAGTAAATAACAAAAAATAGAAACTATACTATCATATCATTATTTTACAAACTTATTCCTCATTAAGGAAGAAACAAAAATTGCAATTTCAAAATGTTACATGTCAGTTTGCAAAAGACTCTACCTAAAACAGATGGGACCTGGCCAAAGTCCTACATTGAAAGGAAAACTCAGCATCAAATACTTTCGTTATTAATCCAGTAACAAAATAATTAAGGAAATGAAACATTTATTTTTAAAAAAATTAGGAAGAGGAAAGCAAAGTAAGTCTAAGGACAGAAATCTGATAATGGCAAAAAACGACACTTAATATAGAAAAAATAAACCCAGAAGAGTGGAATATATGTAGAAAGGAGCAGAGAAAATGGAAATTGTGAGTTTGGGGTGACGTCCTGAGTTCTCATTGTCCCCCTCCCCTTGGGAACTGCGATATAACCATGTACCCTTACAAAGTGCCTCCCTTTCCCATGTTTAAGAAAACTTGAGCTGGTTTGAATATGCAGAAGGCCTCGTTACTTGGGAGTTGAGATATCGAATCCAGGACAAATAAGACAAATATTTGACTGACTGTACAGACATTTTTAACTTCAGGAAGCAAAGCATTTTCAAAGATGTTAAAAAAAAAAACAAAAACCCGACGAATATGTGAAATGCAAACGCTGAAATGAATGTACGTATGTGTTCGTGTACATCTATGTGCCGTGTGGAGTTGACGCGGGTTAATGCCCCTACTGTACAATCAACCATATACAAAATAGCATCTCTACATGCCATAAATGAACCAACACTGCCAATGGAAAATGTGTGAAAACGAAAACACCAAAGAATGATCAACATACTAACATAGGTTGATCACCACTGCTTCTTCTAGTAAAATAACACCAATGACCTATTTCTCCTCTCCCAGCTTGTAAAAGGTTAAAAGGATCAGTACTAGTATGTGGTGATGAGCTTGGGGGAAAATGAACTCCCCGCACAAAGTGCACAATGTTCAAACCGGCCCAGACTTTCTGCTGATCTGCACCTATTTGTTGACTCAACGGCTCTGTGGGTAAGAATTCATCAGGAAGAAACACCCGGAAAGGCTAACAAAATTCAACGCGTAAGGGATCTCATCACCTCGTGGGCACAGCAGTGAAAATGCAAGAAAAGTGTCCCCCCCAAAAGACACGTGTAAGTAAATTATGGTCACCTGATACAAGGATAAACCTGATTGACGAGGAGTCCCATGAAAAATTGCTGAGATTGGTACTAGCACCTTTTAGAGTTCAACAGAGAGTAGAACTTGGTTTTAATATGAATGCATGTATAGACACGAAGGTATGAGGTAAAAGTCTCTGCCCAAGGCTGACCAGAATTACTTCTCCTAGGGTGAATTTTTAATCGTAATTGCTTTTGTCTTTATTTCCATTACTTCTATTCGATACAGTTTTTGTAATGAGCGTATCTCATGTGCATATCCCGATACGAAATTATGTTCAGAAAACGGGCTAAAAGGAAATTCTGCCCCACCCCTTAAAAATGTAGTCAAAATAAATAGACTTAATTGGGGGGAAAAACAGTTTTCCCGATACTCTGCAATGCTGTGAAGCTCAAGTAAAGCGTGCCATTCGCTGTGTGAAAGAGGGGGTGGTCAGATCACTGCAAATTTTTCTAATGAGCAGCTGGGCAGCAAAAAGCAACAGCTTCAGTAAAAGTTCACGTGCTCGGATTCACTTCCAGAAATCTAAGTCAGGAGATACCCAGAGATATAGACAAGATTTATGTAGAAGGATGTTCATGCACGGTATATATATATATATATATATATATATATACACACACACACACACACACACACACACACACACACACACATATATATATATGGCCAATATATATATATTGGCCATCGTGAATTAAAAACTGAAACAGCATATGTGTCCACGATAGTGGAGTATTTGTTTTTGTGTCTCCAATAATTCACTTAACCAATATTGGCTGAGTCTGCTCTTTGACAGACCCTGGGGTCTAGTGTTGAGCAAAACAATTACGTCCTGAGTCCTGAAGCCCCCACAGCCCAGTTCCTCTCAGGAGAGAGACTCAGACAACCGACTCGTTCCACCACAAACAAGTTTGGTGCTATTCAGAATAGCACTGGACACGAATGTGCCTACACAATATTACTTTGTAATAAGAGAGCACAATAAAAAAGAGGAAGACAGACACGTTGTGGACATCTTTTTATTATCTCGAGAAGTGATCTGCTTGCAGCGTGGGGGAGTTTCTCTGAGAGACAGAAAGGAGCATTGGTAAACCATTAGTTGCTTAACAGGGAGGATGGATAGGTGGCAGAAAGCCCTAATGCCAGAATGTTCAGAACCATTTCCATCAGAGCACGAAAGACAAATAAAGATGTACCTTCTCAAGTTATAATTTAAATAACGTGCAAATATAGTCTAGTTTGGAAGAGGAAATTTCAAACGTGCACCTCTCTAGCAAAGTCAAAAACTAAGGAGCTTGTAAACTTTTCTCTTTTCGTTCCATAGAGCCTTTAGCAAAGACTTAATCTTCTTAGGGTTCTTTTTGAACTGTTGTTAGGGTCAAGTCCTTAACCAGTAAAGCAAGTCTATGTTGTTGGCTGCTAGAATCAGCAACATTTTTGAAGGACAGATCCACATTTTTTTAGGGATTCTCGTCCTGTCCTGACATGGTAGGCTGAACTTGCTTCGAGGGCACATGGCAAAGAGTTATAAATTAATTGTGTGATCCAGGAAGTCCTTAGGAAGACCATGCCTAGCCCTTGTTTCCACTGGTTGGCTGTAACCATAGCAACCCCTTACTCCAGACCAAAGTTCAGGTGCTGTAAATCTTTATGGCCATGTTCATAGTCCAATGGTCCTCGGTATATTCCTTCCTATGAAGAGCAAGCTTTCATATTTTACAAGAAGCATTCGACTCCATTTCTAAATACTGGACTCCAAGTGGGTCCAAAAATATTATCAAAAGACCTTTGATATTTTTTTTTAACCTTAGGACCCCCACTTTCCTGAGAAGATGCCTACGAAGAAGAAAACACTGATGTTTTTATCCAGCTTCTTTACCAGCTTCGGGTCATTCGTCGTAGTCTGCTCCATGCTCGGGACTCAAGAATGGGTCAGCAGTCAGATTGGCATCAGTGACTCGTCTTCAAACGGTAGTCTTGTTATCACCTATGGGCTTTTTCAAGGCAAGAGTCACCAAGAATTCAGTCATGGACTTGAGGAATCACAAAAAGGCTTTGAAGGTAAATGATAAATGAATCTGAACGGGGTGCACGGAGACTGTGTTAGCTGGGTAAGACCCAAGTCATCCTCCTTATGGGCCAAAGAACTGTTCAAAAACGATCTCCTTGTAAGTGTTGAGATGGCTCGTAGGTATGAAAATGTATCTTTAATTTTGAAACTTCACCACATTATTGTTTTAGCTTCCTCAGTCCTGGTTGTGTCTATGAGCACCGTGGTCCACATAATTCTGGCAGAGGCGATGTTTAAGTGATATTACCAAGTCTACTGACAAGTAACTAATTAATTAAATATATGTAGCAGGAATATGGTATCCAACATAGGAGGGTAGTAGGAAAAGTATGCGTATGGATGGTGGTATTTTAGATGGGGTAACAGTCCCTGTCCAGAACTTCGTTGGTGGCAAGGAAAAACTAAAGTGGAAAATGTGATCAGGTTCTCCTTCTTAGATCTCCAGTTCATTTCTTTAATCTACTCGAATTTGAATTTTTACCTCCAAAACATCTCATTTTTGTCGGACCTGGTACTAAATTTCTGTTAATTCTATTCATTGCATGTTTTGTAGGAATGCCCCATTTTTTTTTCTGATTTCTTATATAATAATGCTCTCCTCTCTTGATGGGCGGAACACAAAAATTCACTGAGAATGCTAAGTTGAATTTAGCTACCTATTTGACTTTTGAAGATTGAACATATACCACTACATTTTCAAAAATTAAGAGCGGTCTTTGTAACTTATTCAGCACCTTGACCTTGCATTAAACAGTGTTGCATACAGGTAGCCAGGCATTATCAGCCCGATACAGTCATTACCTCTTGACTTGTAAATGGTTTTCTATCTCGTACAAATGTAATATTTAGTTTGAGTTGGAGCCTTAGACTCAAGCCTTTAGTCTGAGTTTGAGCAACGTGGTTGTATTTCCAAGTTATAGAATTTGTCTTTTAAGACATTAGCAAAAGCAACGTCTCCTCCAGCCTGTCGGTAATGCCACCTCCCTCCCCGTCCCCCCCTCCAGCCCTGACCTCAGCTTCTCAGGGAAAGGAGGAATATTCCCTTTGCGGCACCCAGAAGCTAAGACTTTCCAAGATTCAGTCACACATTCAGGATGTGAATAGCATTTTCAAAACCAGAATGTGTCATAGTTCCTGAATCTCCAGACACATTTAACATTTTTTAAAATATGTGATAGCAGCCTGCGAATTTTTTGATTTTCATGCTGTGTCTGTTTGGAATCAGTCGGCTCCAATTTGAGAGACGTGGCTTCAGGGAGAGCCCTGCTTCCCTGTGTCAGGGAACCTCAGAGGCCGCAAGGGTAGGTCCCAGCCTGGCTCTGCAGCCCCGTGTGAGGGAAGTGGGCACCATGGAGTGGAGAGGGCAGGGGTGGGCGTAGGCTGGGACAATCCTGAAGGCTCAGGGCCCACATTTGCCTTTGCTTTGCCTGGCTCTCTGCTTTTACTCTGTTACTGCAGAGCCGCGTTCCAATGTCGTGAAGTCACTGCCAGCCTCTAGGTGCCGTAGAAGATAAACCACGTCCTGATCAGTGAAGGTACACAGTTCAGCTGCTCCAGCTCATGTCTGCTAAGGGCTCCCCAGAGCCTATGGGGGCTTCCTTGCTGATGGTTTTTTACAACCCTTGAACTTGGAGTACTCAACAGTTCTCCAAGATAGGGAAACGTCATGTAACTAGGACATATATCGTGGTGTTCAGCCGCTGCAGACCCAGGGATGTTTTCCCTGGAGAGCAGAATTGGAGACTGAGGAAGGGGTGCTGTTCTGCTGGTTTCTCATGACCACCTGGGGCTCATCTCAAATCAGCAACCAATCATCGGCGGTATAATAGTATCTGTGTAGATGCCACTTCCTTCCCCAGCAGTGAAGGGCTAACCTTTCCATTTAATAAGATGTCAACCATGCCAGCTTCTTGGCCTGAAGATCTCCAAAGAATAGTTACTATTGCCAAGCTCTGCTACATTTCTGCATGGGATTGAACATATCGTGCCGACGGGGGCTGTAGATTTGGAAATGACAGCACAGCATAAAGGGACAATGGCTGATATCCACACGCCGGAAGAATCCAGCCACCAGTATGTCAACTGGTGGGGGAAATATTCAGCCAAACCTGGAAAGCAAACTCTCCAATGTGTCGCTAGATTATTTGGGCAGCTCAGCCTGACCGGGACATGTCCTAGCTTCTTCTAGTGGTCTCCAGGTTTGTTCAATATCCAGATGAAGAGTTACAGGCCCTGTGTCTACCAGTGAGCACCTGGCTTTTGCTACTCCAAAAGTTCTGGATAGTGAATGTCAGTCCAAAACACTTCCCTGAGCAGCTGCTTCATGAGGGAGGGGCGGGGATATGAGAGGCGTTGCACATGGCTGCTGGCCTTGGTCAACTCACCATAGCTTCTATCTAGAGAAAGGCCCCCATCAGTTAACTCAGGTGGTGCAGGTTGCTATGAGAGCGAGGGAGAATTTCACCCAGTCTGCAATCTTCCCCCCCACCCAAAAAAAAAAAAAAAACCACCACCAACAAACAAACAAACAAACAAACAAACAAACTGGCCCACCAGTCTCTTTTCTCCACCTACCCAGTTTGTTCTCAGGGGACCCAAAGTTGCACTATTGGCCCAAGCTACCAATAAATAGAAAAAGTAAATCTGTTGCAAAAATCAATGAATTGCAAGGAGATGAACAAAAGAGGCTTATTTCTTCCTTAATACTCCTACTCGCCTACCCCACCCCATATACACCTATGCTTTTCCAAGGACGAGCAACTTGTTACTCGTCCCCAGAGACATGACCACGCTGGGTGATGGAGCATAAGGGTGGAAAATGCACTCTCCCTCCTTCTCTCCCCGAGAGAACCCAGATACATTTCCCAGAGGCTCGGCATGCCAGCTGGGACTTTTTGGAAGATCTCAAAGGCCCAGCCTGTTAGGGGTACGTTGTGGTCCACGGGCTGCGGCGTCCACCAGGCCAGGCTCCCTGATGACCAGGTGTTTGAGGAGCGGGTGGTGGCAGTTCCCGCCCACCCACAAAGCCACTGGCTCTCCCCTGAGTTCTGAGGACTTCTGGAAAACCAGAGCTAGAAGAACCAGATGGCTAGTGGGTCCCGAAGGGTTAAATCTCCATGCACAGAAAGCCCGGATGTGCGGATGACCCATTTCTGCACACTGCCCACGGCCCCCGGCACATTTCTGCCTCCCAGCTGTGGGGGCCATGGCCTCTTTCCTGAGGTTGCTAGAATCTGGCAATTAGTTCCAATCGTGAGGTGGTTTTCCTGATTCCAACGCTTGGCCCTGGAAAGGAAGAGAAAAGAACGGAGTGTATTTGCCAATTTTGTAGGCAGGGAGCAGCTGTCAGATGCTATGGGGGTTTATTCTATTTCGTTCTTGCCAACTTTCCCCAAATTTCCAGCTTCCATTGTCTGAGTTCTGAGCAAGGAGGAGGCTGGGAGATATAGCTGCCACACCTGTGTGGCAGGATATTCGGAGGCTGAACTAGAATTTTGAAATACGGCAGTTAAAATTAAGCTAAATTGCTACATCAATACAAAGAAAAGTCTGAGTCAGTAGGCTCCAAACTGACTCCCTTTTGAAAAATCATGTCTGTTAGATCTTACCAAGAGTCTAAAACAAAGCCTAACCTGACTGTCACTTTGTAGTTTACTCCGAACAAGAGGAATGTTCACCATTTGCAAACGTACATCCGTTTACAGCATTTAATAAGTGTATAAAGCAGAAATATTCTCCAGGGCACTTCAGAGATGGCATTTTCCCCACACTGAAATGTCTTATTTTCTAGTTAAGTATCCAAATTATTTCTTATTGGCTAAACACCGAGTTTGTTTGGTCCCCAGCACATTTCTGATTAGACCTTCGAGCTTCCTCCTTGGTGTCCAGGGAGGAGCAATGCTTCCTCGCGGTGACGGCTGGAGACTCTCCAGACCCCGCACCGCTGAATACGTGTGTCCTTCCTCCCGTCTTTGTCCTACTCCTGCTCTGGTGTCGTCATCCACCAGTTCCAAAGCAGGTGTGTGCCACCCGAGAGCAATGAAAATCTCAGCCTGAGCTCAGGGCCTTCAGAACAGCCTGACCCCAGTGGCTGCCCTGGAGGGCGTGTGGTGCCCGGAGGGCAGGTGGCCATCGGACCCTGGCCGTCCCCACCCAGGCAATCGGCGGTGGCGGGAAGGACCACATTTTTAGTTTAACCTATGTCATTAGATTTCTTACCTGGGATGCATCACACAGAGAGCGGTGCTAAGGACTTGGCCCTGCCCGTGGGTCATTAGCAGAAGTCCAGGTACCGCTGGGCACAAGGGGACTGGCCGTGTGGGAGGTGAACTTTGCTCTCAGGCCCGCCTCTCACCGAGGAGCAAAATGTTCTCCAGCCAAGGGTGGTGACGTCATCGTGTCCATGTCGCTGGGCTGGGAACCCCCCTCTTCTGCCCTTTGTGCTCCCCCATAGGGCTCCCAGGGCTGCACGGGGTAGTATCCAAGTCTCTGCTCTTGTTTTCACCAGTTTGGTTTCTGCAGCCTCTCGCTGTCCACTGTCCAGTGACAGGAAGTCTGCCTCCCTCCTAGAGGACGGCTGATTAACAGCCACAAATCTGAATTCACAATGTAGATGTTCGGACCCCGGGAGAGCTGTGCCCTCTGGCCAGCATGTTTTGAAGCTTGGAGTCAGAGTAAAGTGTGTACAGAGCTGGGGTCAGGCTGGCAGGAGCTTTGGAATCATGCCTGACAAAGAACATTCCGGAGACGTGGGCTGTGAATCACACTGGGGTTTCGATCTCTCTTCAAATACCTGAAAGGCTGCCAGGCAGAGCGGAGCAAGGGGTTTCTGTGTTGCTCCAGAGGAAGCATCAGGACTCTGGGCAGAAGTCCTGGAGATACGCATCTGGGCACAGCACGATGAAGAGATTTCGAATAATGGAGGCGACACAGTGATGAGAAGGAGACACCTTGCAAAGAGAGGGCCCCTTGCTGCTAGGACGCTCCTCCCTGGTGCACACAAGGCCCTGGGGCTCCTGTTCTTTGAAGCATTGGGACCAAAGACAGAGACAAGGGGCCCCCGAGCCCTGGGACAAGGGATCTTTCCTGGCCCTTCTGGTTTCTGTTCTTTAAAGCTGCTCTGTGGTGAGGCTGTGAGTGGCTCTCTGCTCTATCCCAGGGGCCTGAGAAACAGGAAGGGAAAGAAGAAGGCTTTTACTTTCTCTTACCAGCCCCCTAGTCACGGTTCTTACATCTGGCAACTCCCAAGGATTTTGTTAGCGTGTTACTAGGAGCTCGGAAATCTTTTTCCCCGATTATTTTTTCTGTACGTCGCCGTGGCTTTCACAGAACATCTTGGTAAACACTTTAGCCGATGTGGTGGCAGTCACCGGGGCCCCAAAACGCACCGGTAGCCTTTGGAGACGTTCTGTAAGTGCCTGGCTGGGGTTACAGGTAAGCGTGGGGACACATGCCTCCGGTCACCGGTCGTTTGGTGTCGTAAACAGAGGAGCGAGCAGAGGAAGCAGGGACACGGGGAGGGTGGCTGGTTGCGGTTAGAAACAGCAGGATGGCAAAAGCAGGAACTGATGGCCAGGGGCCCAGGGCATCTGTGTTTCGGATACGAGTGCGTATTCGTGTCTGGAGCCCCTCTGCATGTAAGAGATCCGCGCGTTTTATAAAATGCTGTCAGGACCCAGAGGAATCCAGCTCGGAGAGAATTCTGTTGGTTCACCCAAGGCCCATCCTCCGCATGCATTCGAGCCACGTGGGCCCTGGGTCCTCTCCGGCTCCAGGGAAGTGAAGTCGGGGAGTGTGGAGACACCTCGCTCTATCGAGGAGGGCACCCTCTTTCCTCTGGGAAATTGAAATTGGGACGGTCCTGTGGTTACACACATTCCGGGGGGGCTGAGCATCGTGAGGCCACGCCCCTTCCTGCTCCGGCACACCGAGATGCCCTCTGCAGCTCCTAACCCCGGTGCCCAAGCGGATGGAGTCCAAGACCCACCCGGGTGGCGGGGAGCGGCCCTCCCGTCTGGAGGGCTGGGGTTTGCATTTTGCGCTCCGTGCTGACCCAACGCTGCTTTAGTTCTAGAGAAGTTGAACAATTCTTCCCGAAGAACGCTGCACCTGGTGGCCGTCCTGCTGCTGGTGCTCAGCCTGTGCACGTCGCTGCTGAGTTCTGGGTTCACCTTCTACAACAGCATCAGCAACCCCTACCAGACGTTCCTGGGGCCCGTGGGCGTGTACACCTGGAGTGGCCTTGCTGGTGAGTGTCGTCGGGAGCACCCGGTGCTCAGCTGGGAAGCACGTCCTCGGCGTCTCTGCGTCTCTGAATCTGGCACACACAGGAGCCCATGTGGCCACCGCCGGGCTGTAGAAACTGAGGAGACCTAGTAGGTGCCAAGCTGCGTGCTGCGGCCTGGGCTCTCCTTCTGCCCATCTGCAGCGTTGTTAAGCATCCTGGGAAATAAAATGGTTTTAAATGCACCGGTGAGAGGCAAGGGGCCAGATGGGGGCAGGGTGTGACGTGTTAAAATGCGTAACAGATGCCAGTCTCTGCTCTCGAGTGTAGAACGTAAGGAGTTAAACATGATGCTTCTAAGTCCACAAAACATTCATCTGTGACAACAAAACTCCTGTAGCGTGTTTAACTCCAAGTGGGGTTCCGTGTAAGGTATAGAGGTGCACACACACACACACACACACGCTCATACATACACAGGTGACAAACACACATACATACACAAGTGTGCACACGCATGCACATACCTACATGGATATGCACACACATACACAGTTGTGTGCACACACACATACACAGGTGCACGCGCACTCACACATACATACATCGGTGTGCACACACTCATATATAGGTGTGCACACACACAAATGTATACACATATATGCACACAAGCACATACTTCTACATGCATACATGTGCACGTATGATCACACACATACACCCATGTGCATGCATGCACACCCACACATATGCACACATCTAAACACATACACACAGATGTGCACACACACAGAAGTGCATGCATGCATACACAGATGCACATACACAAACATGTACACACGCACACACGTACACACAGTCACACACACACGCACACACTTATTTACTCTCCTTCTCACCTCCAAGTAACAACAGTCAATGTGGGCTAGAACCCAAACATGACACCACTGTATGGCTGTGCCACAGAGAACCGCAAAGAAGGTCGTTTAGAGGATCTGGGGCCAACACCCTTCTTGCGGGTGATGTGTGAGCCCGGTTGATTCTGTGCAGTGTGACTGGCTTATTTTACTTGTTTATTGGTCCAGGCTGGGGTGGGAGGGTGCAGCGCAGATGGGAAGTGCATCCCAGCTTGAGTCACAGCGTGTGTGGCTCTTGCTGGGTTTTCGCCAGGCTCTGCAGCTGCCGTAAATGCCCAAAGGCCTGCTCAGTGGGGGGCCTCGTTGCCCTCGCCAGGTGGCCAGGCTTCTTCTGCTTTCTCTCTCTCTCCACCACAAAAACCTGATCTCGAGAAAGGATCTGAAGAAGGCTGTCCTCCCCTTGGGAGGACTCTGGACGTGGTTTCATCTAAGTTCTAGGTAGCGCATTTTAACCCCGGGCCCGGAACTTTCCAGCACAGGAAAGGTGGTCTGGTATCAGGAAGCCTCAAGGGGGACTCGGGGCTGCTTCCTTCTGTCCTTCTGTGAGAGGCCATCCTTGCACAGGCCGGATTCAGGTGGTGGGAAGAGGTCCCCGGGTCTCTGAGCTGTGGCTCTCAGCAGTGGTGTGCTGGAGAAGAACAGGGCTCTTGGGGGGCGGAGGGGGGTGGGAAAGGATGCCCTGGCTGGAGCCCAGGCAGCTCCAAGTGGTAAGGACACTTCCGCCTTCTTCATGCTAATAGTTGAGGAGCCAGCCCCAGACAGCATGAAACAGAGGAAATCCATGCAGCTCGACACTCACAAATGGGATGCTCTTAAGAGTGCCATTCATAATCGGCAAGCCAGGCCAGAGGCGGGAACCAGGAACGCCTGTACCACACTGCATACCCACCCCTCGGCTCTGAGGATTGGGGTTGGGCTGCTTTAGCCACATTCATGCATGACTTGCCCTTTCCTTTCTTCCTGTGGTTGTATTACCTGGTGGTAAAAACAAGCCAACCCCCCGAGTTAAAGGGCATCCGCCGTGGGCCAGGCCCCACAGCGCTGTGGAATGAGTGTTCCTGCCTCAGCTTTCCCCAAGAGTCATGCTAAGGGACTCGCTTACAAACTCAGATATCCTCACCCAAAGGCCAGGCTTCCTTTCCCCAAGCTCTTTCTACCAGTACAACTCACCTCGGTCAAACCAAAGGCAGGCTCATTGGCACTCTTTGCCAAGGTAAAAAAAAAAAAAAAAAAAAAAAAAGGATTCTTTTAACTTTTGCTCAGGTAATTAAGAAACTAAAAAAGGTGGTGGCTTCAGGTGCAGCTGGATTCTGGGTCTCGACCCACGCCCTCAGAACAGATGCCTTGCAGGTTGCATCTCTCTTGAGTTTCCCAGTGTTCTCTCTCTGGTGTTAAGCAGCAGACAGGTCCCCTTAAAGTCAGGATGTTGGCCAACAACCCCAGAAGAAAGGACTTCTTTTCCCCCAAATCTGACTCTCCCTGGAATTGTCCTTCCCCGGCCCTGGAACAACCTCCATGGAGTTGAACTCATTGGCTGACTCAGCCAACGGCTGGGACGCCTGACCCCTTGGAGCGGGGGGCTGGGGGCGTCTTCAAGAGGGAAATAAGGACCTAGTGCCAGAAGATTGGATAGGGGGTCGTAGGGACAAAATGGGACAATGTCGCCACTCTACAGCCTGCAGGCCTCAAAGCCCATTGCCTCATAGACCCTGTTTCTGCAAAGCTGGAGCTTTAGGCTCTGTCTCCACAGTTGAGTATGCACTGGCTCTTTACATGACGGAGGCCGATGCATGTTTGCGGAAGAAAACAAGAAAAACACCAGGCCGGCGGCCTTCCCCTCAACCCCTCCATCCCCACCTACTTGTAACAACAAAGCTTTGTCTGACGGGGAGAGAGTCGTGTGGCGTTCCTTTCCCGGCTTGGGGCAAGTTCGAACACACAGAAGAGTCTGCGGGGGAGGCAGGAAAACAGTCTGAGATGATATCCGTGTGTCAGGAGAAGGTCTGCATTCTGGCAGAGGTCACAGGGAGAGCTTTGTGGCGTTGGGCTTTGTGTCTGGCCTCCTCTGAACGCCTCCCATGACTTCTTGATCCCAGAGCTCTGAGAAGCCAGGCTTTTGCCCCGGGTTTGCCTCTGGGGACTCCCGATCGTCTTCACACAGGCTTGGGCTGTGCGGAAGGTAGTGAAAACTCCTTTTCCGTGAGTCTCCGCCTGCAGTCACCTCCCAGGCTCCTGTGTCCCCTGACCCCAGCCTGCCCTTAGCACCACACCGGCCCGGCATGGCCCAGCCCTGACCATAGTGGGTATAACCACAGGAGAATGTTGGAGCCTGAGAGAACTCTCCAGATTGTCTTCCCCCACACATTTGATCCTCAGCCAAGGAACCCAGAGAGCAGAAAGTGATGTGACAGGTCCCACGGCCTGAGGGTGACGGGCCAGGACTGGCGACAATGTCCTGAGCCTTCGGGAGATCCCCCTTCTACCTCGGGGCTCCCTTTATCCCTCTGTGAATCCCCTGTCCCCGAAGGCTGGAGAGGAGACAAGGAGAGGCATCTCCTTCATACAGGGGCTCACGTCAGCACCTGTCTGCAACAGCCCCTCCCAGTTCAAACCAAAGCCAGCACGTTCCATCGAATGAAAACGTGTGTTAACCCTGTGTTCACCCCGCCCCTTTGTGACTAAGTTTTCATAAGAACTTTCACAAGAGCGCAATGAAGGCTAATTGGAGTGTGAGACGCACAGAGCATCAGAGGAGAGGGCTCTCAGATGCACAAATCATTGAGAAGTGAAACCGTCACACTGAAGATGAAGGTCTGCCATCGGGGAGAGTCAGAGCACTCTTCTCACACAAAAGCCCGCAGGCCTTTGGAGGCTTGGGGAAAGTCCCCGGGTGGGGGCTGCAGCCAGGACACGTTGACCACTCCCCCCAAGTCTGTCGAGTGTTGGGTAAATGCTCCCAGAGATGTGCAAACGCCACCTCCGTCGGCCTTGGAACATTGCATCAGTTCAGAGAGAACCCCGTGCCCTTTGGCCGTCTCCCCCTCCCCACTCCCAGCCCAGCCCTAGTTCAACCAACCATGAATCTGAATCTTCTCTTTGCCTCTAGCTGACCCCCTCTGCAAGGCTAGGAAAGAGGTCCAGGGAAGTACACAAATCACCCGGGGCCAGGAGGCCAGAGCCCTGGAATCCAGTTCTCTCTGACTCCAGGACTCTATTCTCCATGGCCAAGGTGGCTGTCCAGAATCGATACCAAGGCACATTCTCCAGGGGAGGACGTTATGAAGAATGAAAAAGGGACGATAAGACAACCAAAACATTCTAAAATGAGTTTATGGGGTGCCTGGGTGGCTCAGATCGGCTAAGCGCCTGACTCTTGCTTTCGGCTCAGGTCATTATCTCACGGTTTTGTGAATTCGAGCCCCACGTCGGGCTCCAAGCTGACAGTGCAGAACCCGCTTTGGATTCTCTGTCTCCTCCTCTCTCTGTCCTTCCCCGACTTGCACTCCCTCTGTCTCTTTCAAAATAAATAAATAAACTTTAAACAGAATAAAAATAAAATAAAATGAGTTTAGTGAGAAGACCCTTCCCAGTTAATCGCCACACTCCATTGTGTGCAGAATGAAAGTCTAGCCTCTGAGCCAGTGTCTGGGGCTCCCTGCGGTGATCTCCTCCTCTGTATTCAGTGCTCAGGACCCTCGGAGCGGCTCCCCATCAGTGGGGTCCTCTCTCACAGTCCCAGCTGCTCTGAGCTCACTGTCCCCGGGTGGGTTTGTGTAGGCTGTGTCTTCTGCTTGCAATGCTGTGTCTTCCCAGCTTCTTTGAATCCTTGTCAACTATCCAGACCTCTCTAGAAAGCTTCCTGCTGACTCTCCTGTCTACTCATTCCCCAGCTCATTCAGCACAGCTCTGTGTGCACTGGGAGGGGCCATGTGACGCGCCCTCAGCGGAGCAGACCCTTCGGGATGGGCTTGAGCTGCGTGTTTGCCCTTGGCCGGACGCTGCCTGCACCATCCTTAGCGTCTCGCGCCTAGGATCTAGCTCGTCTCTTACGTTTCTTTTACACCCTAACACCTAGAAGACCGTAACCTAGCCATCCCATAAATGCCCACAGAGCACATGTTCCACTAAGAAAGAAAGTGACGTGTTACATCTAAGTGATGAATCACTCAATTCTGCTCCTGAAACCATTGTCACACTGTATGGTGACTAACATGGATTTAAATTTTAAAAAAAGAAAAGAAAGGAAGGAAGCGACAGGAGAAAAATGCATCACAACACTTCATATTGTTCACGAACCTGAATCTTCTTTCCAGCGTTGTTCGTTTTCCTGACCATGATACTGTTCGTGGCCAACACACAATCCAATCATCTCTCGGAAGAGCTGGCCCAGACGCTGTACCCACTGTATCCAACAACCACCTACAGAGGAACGACCCACAGCTACGGTTACTCGTTTTGGCTCACGCTCCTCGTCATTCTTCTAAGTGTTGTCACCGTGGTCATCATCGTTTTCTACCAGAAGGCCAGGCACCAGCGGAAACAGGAGCAGAGAAAGCCAATGGAATACGCTCCCAGAGATGGAATTTTATTCTGAACTCTATGTTATGTTGTCTCGTCATTATGTCTAGTCTGTTGTACGTCAGCCCCCGAGAGGTTACTGGCTAGCTTGTCTGGACAATCCGCATGGTTAAGGGCAGCCCTGGTTGGCTGTCACTTTGTGATAGTTTTGTATCTCGTGACGCTTCTTAAATGATGTACCCTTGACCAGCTTTCTTCCCTCTAGGGTGGGGAAGATGAAAGAGAAATGTGTGCAGGCCATGCAGCTTCAAAGCAGTAGAATGATTCCAAGACCATGGGATCCTTCCAGCCGGGTCTCACTCCCTAAGATAATAAAGGTTTGTGGTACGCACCTTTACTTTAAGTAGCTCAAAGCACTTTAGCACCTAGGCTCTCCTCCTCAGGAGGGACCAGGTATTTTTTATTCCACTGTATGAACAAACACTTTCAGGTACAGAGGGATTCAGAACTCATCTTTCCAGGACCAGGTGTTGGAGGCAAAAGGTGGGTGAGACTTTGGGGTAAATTCCCTGGTCCCCAGGGCCCCTAGTTGTTGACAAAATTCAAAACCAGTGGTGGGTAGGAGTATTGATATATGACCTTCAAACCCATTTTTGAGGTGGCAGGGTGCAGTTTTTATATGGAAAAGACTAGGAAGTGAGAAGATTAAGAAAGACAAAAATTATAGCCCTGCAGCCTTCACACTAGGGAAGCTAAATGTATTTTTGGTTTAGAAGGATTGCGGTGAATTAGTCAAAACGAAAATGTCACATTGCAACAAGTTCTGGTAACCGACCCTTTGCCGTTGACACAGTCTGGTTGCCCGGATGGGAGTGTGTCAGCCCCAGCAGAATCCGGCCCAGCCAGAGGCCAATAAATGGCTTAGAGCACCGTGGCTTGCTGGCATTCCCCGAGCCGAGGCCAGGGCAGACGCAGAACACAGATGCTGGTTTGCCCTCTAGAACAGGTGGATAGAATCGATTCACAGTCTCATGAGAACACAACAGGCAACTAGGAAATTTTTGGAGAGCTCCCAAATGGATTAGACCTACTTTGCCAGTACGATATTCTTCCAGAAAATCCCTTTGAGGATCTTTTGAGCTTGAATATCCCACTAGTCAGTCAGAGTGAACACGGACAGGATTCTGAAATAACAACTCTGTCATGTCTTGATGTAAGCAAAGCCAAACAGAGCAGAAGTCTCTCGGTGTAGTTTACAAAATGTCGTGTCTTTGGACGGAAAGATACATCCTTTCTGAAGCTATTAGGGATTCGTGACCTTCTTGTCTACTATTTTTTCACAATCTGTCTTAGAAATAATATTTTTTCATTCAAGAAACATGAATTGAATACCTGTGATGTGATCAGTCCTGTGCCAACCCGGATACCTGCCCCCCACGGAGCTTACTGTTGAGAAGTCAAGACAGACATTGCAAAAGCAGGTGTTACATTCCACGTAAAACAGGTACTTAGTCACAAAACTGTGCTCATTCTCTGAAAAGTCAGTTCTCTATAACCACCCACCCCGAAGTCAAGGTTACTCCAATAAATTAACTTGTGCAACTTTGAGCGCATTAAAAATATGATTCTCAACAGTGAAAATGTTCTAAATTCTTTGAAGCTAAAAACATTTATGTTCTTTGAAGGTTTAATTTTATACCAGAGTGTGATAATGCAGGCAAGTCATGGAAGAGAAAACAGATAAGGGTAACAAATCCATGCAAATGGGTTGCTAACTAGGCAGGCACCCCCACCATGTGCTGGTGCAAAGGACATTATAGGATATAAAGACTGCATTTATTCATCTCAGCGTTTGAGCAGAGCCTGGTTTCGCTAGGGGACAAAGTATCTCAATCCTTAAATCACGGATGACCTATGAGGAACCATTCAAAACAGGAATCTATACAGGGAACTAGCTTGCACAATTCTGGAGATAAAGAGCATGGCTCTCCCACTATGTCTGAGGTAGAAGGTAATGAAACTGTGTGTGTGTTCTTTAGAAATCTTCTTAAGGAAGAACAGAGTTTGCAGATCACTCTTGGACATAGACGTAATTCGCTGTTCTAAAATCACTTAACCTTGGGGTGCCTGGGTGGCTCAGTTGGTTGAGCGTCTGACTTCGGCTCAGGTCATGAGATCACGGTCTGTGAGTTCGAGCCCCACGTCAGGCTTTGTGCTGACAGCTGGGAGCCTGGAGCCTGCTTCGGATTCTGTGTCTCCCTCTCTCTCTGACCCTCCCCTGTTCTGCTCTGTCTCTCTCTGTCTCAAAAATAAATAAACATTAAAAAAAAAAATAAAATTAAGGGCGCCTGGATGGCGCAGTCGGTTAAGCGTCCGACTTCAGCCAGGTCACGATCTCACGGTCCGTGAGTTCGAGCCCCGCGTCAGGCTCTGGGCTGATGGCTCGGAGTCTGGAGCCTGTTTCCGATTCTGTGTCTCCCTCTCTCTCTGCCCCTCCCCCCGTTCATGCTCTGTCTCTCTCTGTCCCCCAAAAAATAAATAAACGTTGAAAAAAAATTTTTTTTAAAAAATTAAATTAAATTAAAAAAAATACAATAAAATCACTTAACAAATGTGCATCACGTCTGTTGTAATGGACCCACATGAAACACTATGGAGGGCTGAGCTATTCTACGGAATTGGAATGTTTCAGCGGTCATGATACGAGCCCCTAATTAACATGTGTGGTCCTGTTAGGATGAGCTAGATGGCAAGGTTCGTCCACATTTGCAAAAATAAAAAAGTCATGCAGAATATTGTGCTCCTCCATTTTATAAGAACACAGGGTCCACGATGATAATTTTAGGGAAATTAATACTTTGCGCTAATGTCAAAGTGATGAGGCTCCCCTCCCCCTCCCCAGGGAGTTGTTTGCAAAGCACTCCGGGAGGCAGGGATAACCTCCAGGTAGGCTCTGCTATCATTATTTTAATTTTATTTGATCATCTCAACAAACCCTGTGGATCAGGCAGGGCAGGAAAAATGGTCTCCCTGGACGTGACACTTTTCAGGGTCTACAGTGTTCTTACAGCCAGCCCCACACGGCCACGCAATACCGGTGCTCCCATAAGTGACACGCAGCCGTGCAGGCAGACAGATCGGCAGCCTTCTCGGCCTCCAGGAGGTCCTGGGAGCCTGCAGATTCTGCAAAGGACAGGCAGGCACTGAGCGTACTTCCTGGGTAAGCTGGGCTGCCTGCATATCGCCCAACGTCTTTCACTGACACCTGCCCCAGAATGTAGACGGGCGGCCAGTCTGAACGAGGCATCGCATGTGTGGGAGGGAGGGGTTCACAAGCAGGAGCCTTCCTCATTCTGAAACTGTAGCACAGAGACTGGTCCTTGGTCCCTGAGCCACACTCAGGGTGCTCTTCTGACCCCGGAACTCAGAACCCCCAGGGGCCATGGGCAGGCGAGTCCTTCAGTCGGCGTGAAAGGCGGGTCCCTCCATGGCAGCCCTCTTCCCCGTCCTCACCCCCAAACCCCCAGCACCCAGGGCGAGGAGACACAGTCGGAGGCCCCGTGTCTCAACTGCTCTGGCATCTCGTAGCTGACCCAGCGACACCCCCTCCTGAGCTTCTGTTTCCTCGTGACTAAAAACTAAAATACAAATAGCGGAGATGACCATCAGTGTAGGATTGAGCAGGGAGGTTTGGGCATCAGGCTGCCTGGGGCTGGAGAAGTTACTTAATCTCAGGGAGCCTCATTCCAATCATCTGTGAAATGGGATGACGATCGGCACCCAGGATCTGCTCTCAGGGTTGTGGGAGGAGCCCTGACAAGGTGTGCAAAAGGCTCCTGGCGGCCATCCTCCTCCTTCGCAGAAACCCGCGGTGTGTAAAAACTATAATAAAGACTAAAGGCGAGATCATGAGCTACTGTGGGCCACCTCAATCCTTTTGCTTTGTAAATGAGCAAGGAACAGGCACCTGAGACCCAGGAGGTTAATGAACTTGACCAAGCATCCAAAGCCAGCAAGTGCAAAGGAGAAGTCAAAGCAGCGCTCAGACACTCTTTTTTTTTACCTGTTTCTGACTCAGTTCCATAAACGTGTTTGATCAGGCGGCTGGCACAGGCCTGGGGCTTGGGGGCACAGAGACAAAAGTTCGAAAGGAGCGTGGTGTCCACAGAAAGTGTGGCCTTCTGGGTGTGCCTGTCACCTTTCACGGCACGTGTGAGGCTCACGGTGGGTCTCATTCACTCAGAACAAACAGGAGTGGCTTGCTCAAGCAAAGGCACCCAGTTTGTTTCACAGAAAACCTTCAGCCCGGCTGGGTGCTGACCTGAGCTGGAGAGGGTGGGGTCTCGGTGACAGGACCTGCCCACACACGCCCAGAGAAGGTGGCACATCCTGTGACCAAGGGACTTTGTGCTCCTTAAAATAGAAAGAAGGCCGGGTTACTCATGGTGACCCGGGTCACTGGCTTACCAAGGCTGCAGGAACTGAGGTATGAGTGACATCTGACGCGTTACCTGCCTGCCCGAGAGGGCCGGCCCCAAAGGATGCTGAGGATTGTTCCTGTCCCTCCTGTTCCTCCCGCCTTGTGTCCTCACTCTGCCCAGAGACCACTGGAGTTTCAGACGAGCACCCAGTTCCTTCCACCATGCGTTTGCGTTTGGGTCAGACTTCAGGCCATCAAAGTGTTATTTGCAAAATGTGAAGTTGTTTAGTAAAAAAAAGAGAAATTGAGACAGAAGCCCATTGTGTTTTAGGACTATTTGTTTTGAACAAACTACTTTGCAAATGAACACTCCTCCCAATTCCCACCTCACTCCTGACCAAGAGGGTTAGGCTTTTTTTTTAATGTTCATTTATTTTGAGAGAGAGAGAGAGAGAGAGAGAGAGAGCAGGGAGGGGCAGAGAGAGAGGGAGACACAGAATCCGAAGCAGGCTCCAGGCCCTGAGCTGTCAGCATAGAGCCGGATGTGGGGCTCGAACCCACGGACCATGAGATCATGACCTGAGCCGAAGTTGGATGTTTAATTGACTGAGGCACCCAGGTGCCCCCAAGGGTTAGACTTCTCATGTTTAACCGGGACCCTTTAGAGATGCTCTGCTCATCTGATTACGTTGAAGCACCCTACTTCCACAAAATGTTCAGCTCATAAATCAATTTTCCAGAAGGAGGAGTTTCTGCTTTTCTGGTTCCTGGCACCACAGTGGTGGCTGGGTTGTGGTCCTCGTGGCTTTGCCAAGAGCAGTGGCCACGGCTACCATTACTGTCACTCAGTGTGCCATCCCCTAAATGCTCTGCAGGATGCTTCACTGGATCCTTGTGGCAAAAGTCTGGGTTGGTGTATGATTAATCCCACTTTTTAGGCAAGTGACTGAGGCTTAGATTGGTTAGATAGCCTGTCTGCCATACCACACAAGGGAGAGGCTGAGCAGACCTTCCATCGCAGACCATCAGCCCAGGTCTCCGGAGAGGCACAGAGTGGGACCGATAATCTTACGGTAACACCACGCGTGTTTTTTAAAGGTTTGGAAGAGGTCTCAAGGGCAAATCCAAGCGTTAGACCTTGGCCTCCATGGGCGCCCCCCAGGCATGTGGCATTTGGGACTAACTGAGTTTGCTGGATTCTCAAAGTGTCTACTTGGGTAATCGTTCACCTTTTGATTAAGAACGTAACTATTTTCACACACCGTGTGTTATCTTTATGTACTTAAGATAAGACTAACCTCTTGATGGCCCTATCACAATGGTGAGTGGGGATTAAGTCCTCCATCAAAGGTAGGGCAGAAAGCACCGGCTTATGAGTTAACAGACTTCAGCCTCAGTGAATACAAAGTGCACGAATGTCTATTGAGTGCTTCGTCTACTTACCACAGAAAGCAGGAGCACAGAACGCAACAATGTGTCCCAGACATGCAGCTTCCCGTGCAGCTAGACAGGTAGGCAAGCGGAAGACAAGGCGGTTTTTGAAGCAGTCCTCTGGGTTCTGTGGGAGCATCCCGAAGGAGAACCTGAAGGCTTCCTTGAGAAAGACACGGCTTTAGCTCCTCTCTAAACCCTGTGACCCTAAGCAAGGATAGCAACAGACCTTGGAGGGGATCTAACGCGACCCACCGGTCACATGTTGGAGTAAAGGAAGCTCAAATATAGTCAGCTAAGGCACAGCTTCCTTGTCTCTGCTTCCTCACCTGAAACATAAAAATAAAAGGGTAGGAGAAGATTTAGGAACCTCTAAATTCTTTCCTTTTCCTTCTTAATTTCGCGGAGTTGATTTCTTGAAGAAGCATTTACGTAAACACCAAATGTGATCGGGTCAAATTTTCAAGTATGGAGGACACATGGAATAAGTGTGTTCCAGGGAATGTTCCTATAAAATTTCATCTCCATGCTTTTATTCCACAAGGGATATAACGAGCTTACTCTGTGGGGATCTTACTTTGCGGCACAGTGTTGTTGAAACATTTCCCTCAGCTTTCGCTTAACAAAAGCAAATGGATGAATGATGACAATGGATAGGATGTCAAAAGTTCATTTCATGCTCCAGAATGGGGGGTGGGGGGGTTAAGCTAAAACAGCCTATTTTCCAGACCCTTCCTTCAGTTTTCACTTATACTTAGGTGACAAAGAGCCAGTGGTACATGTGCTGTTG